AAGGAGGAGGTGGAGGACGTAAAAGTGGATTTGAGGTTCCATTATCACCGCCACCAATGCCTAGACGGTCTATGCCCGCGCTTCCTGGCTCACGAGATACTCATGATACTACAAACGATGGGCATGACAAGAATAGTAACATTCGTCGTCCTGAACATCCTCTTCCTCTCCCACCCACAAGTACCATTTCAAAGACCTCAACCACTAGCACCAGCAGTAACAATAGCAGTTCAAGCAACTTGAATGAATCTCCGTCTGCGTCTGCATGTGAATTTGCACCTGCACCTGCACCTGCACATACCTCTACTTCTACATCTTCCTCGACCATTCATTTTACGTCTTCGTCTTCGTCTTCTACTACACCAGCAGCAGCATCTGGATCATCAGCAACTCCTCTCAATCAGCAGGGGGCTACCAATGTATCAGAAGACAGAATGCTGTCTTTTATGCGACAGGAAATTGACAAGATTCGGTCCGAATTTAATGCATTATTGGAAATTGAGCGTGAAGAGCGTAAACGGTTAGAAGGAGAAGTAAGAGATCTCAAAGCGCAACTAGAATGATTGGGCTTCCTTTTGTTCTTTGCTTCTCGAGTGGATTTTCTCTTCAATAATAGCAACGAAGAAAAAGACCTACTACATCTATGTATTACATTAAAATTTATTCTTTATTACCACTACTGGATTTAATTGAAAAATAAAAACAAAATAAAATAACATAATAATAATAATAATCATAATAAGAGGAGGAGGAAATAATGAAGCTAACTAAGCTAGCCAAGCTATCTGGAGAGAATTTGTATTACAGTAAAAATGGTAAATATTAAGGAGTCTCACCAGTTCTTCGACGCTTGACATTTCGATGTAGCTGTGCTTTAATCAATTGTCCAGCAATAGCCAATACAGTCTGCGGAAGGAAATCACGTCCCTAAATTTAATACCCATATTTATATATATATATAAAATCTTTCTTTCATTTTTTTACATTAACATACCAACAAGAATCAAAGTAAACACACCAAAAAGAAGACCAAGGCCTATGCTACCGGGGAAAAGACGCGCTGATAATATGACCTGTGTAATACCCGTCAATAAGAGCGTTAAGAATAGCACTACACAAATAAACATCGCCAAAAAAAAAACTTGGTGTAAGAAGATACGCCCTGAGGCGTATACTGGTGAGATAGAAGAAGACCGACTCGCGTGAGGCTACCGTACAGTCAGACGGACCTCCTAAGCTAGACAAGAGAGATAAAAGAGAGATTCTGCTTGAGATCAGTCGAGATCCAACACAGCCATTGACCAAGATTAGCAAAAACTTGGCCGCACTTGTGTTAGACAAGACACTCAGAAAGTTTTTGGATAGTGTTGGAATTTACTCTCGCAAGATGATTTGCAAACCAAAGATTTCGAAAGTCAATCAGAAGAAGCGATTGCAATGGGCAATTGAACATGTCGACTGGAATGTAACACAATGGAATTCCGTCATCTGGTCTGATGAGTCCCGATTTCAGCTCTACAAGAATGATGGGCGCATAAGATTTCTCAAGAAGAACAAGTCGGGCTTCAAGTCCAGTTTCGTCTCACCGACCGTGAAGTCTGGAGGATGTGCTATTATGGTCTAGGGGTGTTTTTATGGAAAAGGTGTCGGAGTTTTGGATGTCATGAAGGAGAATGTAGATTCCAAAAAGTATATAGACACCTTGGAAAGAGCTTATCTCCCTTCCCTTAAGAGATCCAAGGGAAAAAAATATATCTGGAAAAGGTTCAAGCTTCAAGAGGATAATGCCAACTGCCATGACAACGCCATGGCAAGAGCATGGAAAAAAAAGAACAAGGTGCAACGTTTGGGCAACTGGCCGCCTCAAAGCCCAGATCTCAGCCCAATAGAGCATTTCTGGGCCTACCTCAAGTGGAAAGTTAGGTCCAATAGATATAATTTATACACCACGCATTATCTTAGACATGCAATTAGAAAAAAAAATCCGAATTTGCATTTGAAGAGCTTGATTAAGAGTATGAGAAAAAGATGCCAAGCTGTTATTGATGCAGATTGTGGCAACACCAAATATTAAAAATACGCACTTTTTATACTTGGTTAAAGTTATTTTTCAGCATTTTATAAGAGAAAAAGTGAACTCGTAGCACTTTGGCTGTAATGTACCGGGCTAATGAACCTGGTTAAAAGTGAGCTAGTGGTCTGGGTTATCAACAGGCGTCAATTTTTTTGTTGAACTTGGTTCACGCCATGGTTCATTACCATAGGGAGTGGATACTCAACAGGATTTTACACATGGCCTTAAAAGGCCAAAAATAATAGTATTGGACTAAGATCCTTTTCCCACATAGAAAACCCATGTTCCAAAGAATGCTACGAATCCACACCCTCTCTATAGATATTTTTATTTATTATGGTAGTTATTGATCGTAAGGAACCAGATATAGGTATTGAACTTTGCATAATAAATTATTTAGGTGTTTTGGTAAAATCGAAACGTCGGCTCCGTATGATTAACGAACAGAACTGTAACAAAAGTCTTGGTTATAAGGCTAGTTGTGAGACTTTAATGAGTACCAAATATTTTCCTCCCCAATATTTGGAATCAATATATTATGATAGTGGTCAATGGGGGATATTTTTTTTCTCTCTTTTACCCCATAATATAAAGCAAATAAAAGAAAATAGAGGGAAGGAAAAGGAAAGAGCTGGAGATTTTTTCTCATTTCAGTATATAATTCAGAAGGTGATTTTCTTTTCTTTTTTTTTCTCTGGGGAATAGATTGTCTTTTTGATATATATGTTTCTTTTAAAAATTGAAATGAAATATTAAACATTAAAAGAAACCAAGCCTGTTCTGCTCGATTTGCACACTAAAGACATTGTGCTTGTTTCTCGTGATTTTAAATGTACTGCATTTGCTTTGAATATAAGTATTAAGCTTGTCTCGAAGCTATCCTGACAAGATTCATTTAATAAACGGCAACAGTAAGAATAAAGCTCTCACGCCATGTGAAATATCTTTTATTAATTGAGACCTCTCTTTGACTATCACCATTATTATTTCAGAAATGTAACACGCATTTTCATGCTTATTTCCCTCCTAAATAATAACAATAATAATAATAATAATAATGGCTCTCATTCTTTCTTTTCAAGATGAAGTGTGAGTGAGTTGATAATCATTACACCCGATAATGCTCTTGTTTTTAAGAAATAAATAAGTATAAAAAATAAAATACAAATTCACCCCACATGAGAAACACGACGACCATGATCTACACCGTAGACAACACAACAGAACACAAGGTCAAATTTATATTCATCTCTCACATGAATAATAATAATATTAATAATATTAATAATAAAGATTAAGAAGTTACAAGTTACTTTTTAGCTTGTAATAGCTGTCCTACCCTCCAAGTACTAGCCAATACTTGTATCGAGTCTTTTATTTTAATGTTAATTTAACTGTACCCTGCCAGCCCCACCACATATACAAAGCTAAACTAAGCTAAGCTAAGCTAAGAAAAAGAAAAAAGCAAATGATGTCCTTGCCAGTTATATAGCGTACATTATCACTATTATCCTCTATTATTATTTAAATTCTGTTTCTACGTCGAGGCGCTAAACTTCTCTTTAATTTAAGCTATACTTTTATGTGACCAGAAGAAGTTCATTAGTACTAGTGTTATTGGTACACAATATTTGTTAAAGAAATAAATGAATTAAAGAACCATAAAGAATCTTGTATTTTATTTTATAAGGCTATTCCGCGACCATCCGAAAGACGGACATTTGAGGTTTCCAGTTGGTAATCAATCACTCCCACTTATTCATCTTATTTAGCTTTATTATCTTTCTTTGATGTATTTTCTTTTTGAAATTCTGTATTCAGTAATGCCAACAGAACTAAAAGGCTTCTTTCCTGTCCATATATAAATATAAATATATATATATATTGTGTTTTCTGTTGTGTAGTAAATTATTACCTTACAACGCCACTTGATATTATATATTGCCGACGATTCCGACTTTTTTTTTTTATGATTACCACAAAATTGGCATGGTCTGTACTACGTTTTACCTATTGTGGTACTTTTTTATTTTAATTTTTTTTAAACTTCTTTGAACTGTGAACCTTGAATATGTATAAATATATATAAAGCTACCGTGGGGTTTGTACAATCTGTCAATGATATTTTGACTATTTGTAATAAAAAGAATATCTTGCTATATCGAAAAAATAAAGAAAAAGTAAAGAAGCAAACTGTGAGCTTAAGGCTTTGATATCTTGAGGAATCTTTGTTGTTGCTGTTTTTTTTAGTAATGAACATTTCAAGTAAAGAAATAGTAATAAGAATAATAAGGAGAGAGAAAGAGAGGGAAAGGTTCCGTCTTTTGTGGTTACCTATTTTACATATAAAATATAAAATATATTAAGCTAAATTCCGAGCCATCGTGAGTTTGATGTACACATATATTATGTTATATTTAACAAAGAAAGATATTTTATACAAGTCGATTCAGTTAAATTCATTAGACACATCTTTAGTTTTGTTGTTATTGTCATGGCCTTATTCAACGGTTAAAATATATAGTAGTAAATCTGCAAAGATCTTTTTTTTTATAGAAAAAAAAGAGCGCATGGAGAGAGAAGGTCTGTAGCTGAAGCTGGAGCTGGGCTGGGGGGGACCTTGTTTGATGACCAAATGAGACTCAAATATTATATATATGTATAACTCCGTTGAATGGCTGAATGAACGATTGAATGATTGAATGAATGAATATATGAATGAATGAATGAATGAAGGAATATATGAATGACTGACTGAATGACTGAATGATGAATGGATATACAGTTAAAGAACAAGCTGTAAATGATAAATTATATCTGTAATAAAGAAAAAATAAATAAATAATTTCTTTTGCTTTTACTTTTACTCTTCTACCTATATTTTTTTTTGTATTTTCTGTGTGTCTTACCTTACTGCTTTCAAGCCATGACTACCAAGACAATGAATAACAGAGTAGCTCTCGATGAACCTGCACCAATTGATAGGTAATACAAGTTGTTCGTACGACTCTCGGAGACTGTAAGCCAGTACAACCTTCACTTACCTTTTTGTGGCCTGCATTTCTCAACGACAAAAAAAAACCACCAACCCAAAAACCAAAAGCTATGTTATCAAATTAGGAATCGTAGGTGATGCTCAGATTGGCAAAACTACACTTATGGTCAAATATGTCGAAGGACATTACGACACAGAGTACACACAGACACTTGGTATGAGAAACTCATTAAGAAAATATTTCAAAAATAATATTAACATATTTCTTTAATATAACATTGTTTTAAAAAGGGGTTGATTTTATGGAAAAGACATTGATGATCAATCGACCCGAAGGCCGCACTGAAGTAACCTTTAGTATCTGGGATTTGGGAGGTAAAAAAAAAAGAAAAAAAAAGAGGGCTCTTCTTAATTTTAATTCGTCTGATTGTTGACTCGATTAGATTGTGTGTGCGTGTGTGTTTCTTTTTTGTTATTCACACACCATTCTTTACAATAATTTTTTTTTGTGTTTCAGGCCAACGGGAATTTGTTAGCATGTTACCACTCGTTAGCAATGACGCCCATGCGATATTGTTCATATTCGATCTGACTAGGAAATCAACGCTCAATAGTATCAAGGAGTGGTATCGACAAGGCCGAGGATTAAACAAGGCAAGTTTATTGTAGATAATATAATGTAATATATTGTATTTTATTGTATTATTTCTCTTGGTTATTGATATATTTATATATATATATATATATATGCACAAATATAACGTGTTATTATAGGTGGCACAACCATTTTTGATAGGCACTAAATATGACGAATTTGTTAATCACTCACACGAGGACCATGAAGAAGTAACTCGCCAGGTAAACCAAAACAATAGATGAAAATTTGTATAGAACCATGCACATTTTTCTATACAATTCTTTTTTTTTCTGAATTCTTATTTTTGTTTTGTTTATATATGCTTACAAGCACTATTACATATACATAATAATTGACTACTTGACTCTCTAAATCATCCTTACTATTATTACTCTTATTTTAGGCTAGAAAGTTTGCTAGAGCGATGAAGGCCCCACTCATATTCTGTTCGGCTGCTGAATCTATCAACGTACAGACGATCTACAAGATTGTGTTTGCCAAAACATTTGATTTAGGAATCACCATCCCCGAAATTAGTCAAGTGGGTGGCCCGATTGTTGAATACAGGCATTGCTAATAAACATCACCACGTGGAAAATTATATAACATTTTATGATATCTATGTCTATGTCTATGTCTATGTCTGTGTGTGCGTGTGCGTGTGCGTGTGTACTGGGTTGTTTTTTTTGTTTGGTTTTTATTTTTTTGTAAGTAATGGTTCTTTCTATAGTAAAGAAAAAGAAGAACAAGAAGAAAGAAGAAGAATAGGAAAGTAAAGGGTGTGGTCTGAAGCAAGAGCAAGAACAAAAGAGCAAAAGAGCAATAATAGGTGGGATTGTGTTGATCGAATTCTAGTATACATCTCTTTCTCTTCTTCGTTTCCTCGCTCTCTTGATGTTTATATCTCTTTTCTTCTTCTTTATTATTATCTCTTGATCTTCATCTTGTTGTTGATGCGGTTGATGTTGGTGTTTGCTGGTACTGTTACTGATGCTGATGCTGATGCTGCTGCTGATGCTGCTGCTGCTGTTGCTGTTGCTGTTGCTGTTGACCTTATGCATCGGTCCACTTGATCTTGATACGTCCGGCACCAAGACTGGCCAATTTCTTAAAGGCAGCCGGGCTAAGGTCAATGTCATTTTTGGCACATCCAGGACAACTGTCGACCACAGTGACTACAACCGACTTCTTTCCGTTTGTGACCTTGACTTTCTTGCCGCATCTAGCTTTCAGGTTCTTCATCAACGATGAACTCAAGGCTGCAACCATCTGGCTGTTGGTGTTCTTCTTGCCACAGGATCCGAGACCGACGCCATAGAATGTGGCTTCTCCGGAATTAGCACGGCGGACCAAAGGCAAGGCTTGAATGCACATAGCCATCAACAATGTCAAGAGAATAGTGATACGCATTTAGGAGGGAGGGAAGGTTAATGGGAAAAAAATGAGTGGGTGGGTGGGTAGGATGAGGTAAGGACAGAGGAAAGAAAGAAGGAAGGAAAATGGGCGGGTTGATTTGGTCAAGGTATACAAAACGGCTCCCCCCAAGTGGAGTGTCATTTTGACGGCCAAGGACATTTCCTATTTTATGTTTACCCAGGATTTTGTGCTGTATTTGGAATATATAATTTGCTCTATTTTAAGACAATTTTCTTTTTGTGTATATATATATATATTTTGATCAAAATAAAAGACAGTCAAAGATTCTAGCGTTTTCCAAACAGAGGATAAATCATATATATATATATATATATTTACATATATTAAGATAAAAAAAGGTTTTAGACCTTTGACTGGTTCACTTTTACAATTCACCAACGCACAAAAGCATGAGAACTAACTAAAAAAGCCAAAAGAAGAAGAAGAGGTTCAATAACCTCTGATTGACTAGTCTTTATTCATTTATTGGTAATTGCACTGAGAACAACATTTATGTTTAGTATGAAAGAAAACAACAGCATTATGAGTACTTGTGTTTTATTTTATATGCATTTGAACTAAAATTTGAACTTTATTTTCTTTTGACAGCCTAAATCTGTCCACGCCATTTGGTTTTGAACACTAAAGAATTTTGATCTAATTTAAAATTATTGTCCAATAAATATTCTTGCTTCTTTTTCTTTTTTTTTAAAAAAAAAAGATGTCCACCTCCCTTCTATCATTATTTTTTGCAAGGCTTAAAGCCGTCCACCAGTCAAAACCAAGAGCATAAAATTCATTGAAACTGTTAATAATACACCAGCTTATATATTTATATATAAATAAAATACGTTTTATTTTCATTTTATTGTGCAAGTATCTATAGAATATTCCTCCATCACTTAGCACCACACATCCCATACGGGAAATAAAAAGAGAGATTTGTTTTTAGCTGGACCACTTTCTATATTCTACTTGACTTGAAGAAAATACTATCAAAAACCAATCAAAGCTTTTCTTTTCTTATTCTTTTTAGAAAGAAAAAGGTATAAAAAAGAAGAATTAAAAGGGTTAGCACTTGGAGATAAGGAAAGTTAAAACCCTGAAAAATAAGAGCAGTATAATTACTAAGCACTTAAACAGTTCAATATCATCAAATTCTATCTAGATGAAATTTAGCTATACCAAAACAAAACTACAAAAAAAAACTCCAATTAGTTACCGGATTCTCACTCTCACTAAATGTTCACCTAATTGCGATCGAACAGCCTTATCATATATATTTATGTGGGATATGGTCTATTAAATATCTGTCATTAGTGATGAATTGTGGGTCTGATATGTAGTCGAAGTGCCTAAAGGGCTCCTCAAACCTACGCAAATGTCTTAAATGTTGGGAAAACGGTGAGAGTGAAGGATTTAATGAACAGTATATGTGGAGTAGTCCGTACGAAAAAACGAAAAAAAAGTAAAGAATTCTGTGAAATCAAGGGTATAAGGTGGTGCAGGGCTTACTAGTGTGTAGCTTATAATGTGTGTCTGGTAGTGTTTCGTATATATTGCTCACAGAGATGGTAGGTACTTTAAAGGGGTCAGTCTTCAAGTTTTTACTCAGTACTGTCAACTAAAGTATTAACGAGGTATAACTATTGTTTCTCTAATCTTGCTCAGGAATTTCTCAAGATACCTTACAACAAAACAAAAAAAAATTGAACTTATTTATATTGTCAATGACCCTGTTTCTTATCCTACATCCTGTAAGTGTTCCAACAAGTATGAATATTTGAATAAAATCCACGTCTTTTTCTACTGACAGACTGGTTAGGTCCGAACCGGAAAATAGTCTATATTCTACAGCCCCTAATGTTATGAATAATTGTTTACTAAAAGCAAGAAGTGTTTCTGGATTTGTGTGTTTATCAAAGTCTCTAACCAACAACAAAAACGTTGCTCATACTTATTCCTCTTTTTTGTGTTATAAACTATAGCCTGGTAAATGTCAATGTTGCCAAAAATTTGTGTAGAGAAAAACATTTATTTTGATACTTACAAACATATAAACAGAAGCAATTATCTTTAAAGAAGTAGTAATAGATCAAGATTCTTTTTAATAATTATCCCAGATATTATAGCCTTTATTTTCTCTTATAAAAATACAGTTCAAGTTTACATTATATTATTGTACAAACTAAAGAAAGTTCAAGAAATTATTTATATAAAGTAAAGCCTAGCACAGTTGCAGTAAATACACATCCTGCGCCAATAAATCCAATGATATAAATGAGACATAAAAGTAAAATATACAATGTCAAACCCTTGCTGGATACAATATTCCTGAAGAAATTCACAAGAATTAATAGCATTGGATTCAGAATCCATGCCAGCACAAGCCATTGTATCACACTGTGTACGCTATAATCCGCCCATATAAAATAAATCAATGTCATGACCGTTCCTTGCACTGAATATATAGAATATGAAAAGTATGTGTAGATAATATATGGAACATACCCACTTTTAGCGTTAACCGTTCTTTGCTCGATTACTTTTTCTAAGAAACTGTCTTTGTAGAGAATCTTCGTCGTGGCTTCAATACTACTCATTGAAATATCCCTCTCTTCAGAAACATCGTTATTCGCATACGTCCCAGTTTCAGTATACAGGCTCTCATATCCTATGCAAGACTCAACAACGTTATATGATCCAATGTCAATATTTTTGTCGTAAAGAATACTAAATGCCGCTAGCTGTTTGTGCAGAAAGCAGAGAGACATAGTATGGAGAATCGCCATATTCATGAATAAGATCATAATAACTTTGGTCCATCTGTTCCCTTTAACATCAATACATTTAATAGCAGTGTAAACACATTGGAAGATAGTGGTGCGCACCGCTATGTATGAAGTATCATTCAGATAGCGAACAGAAAAAAAAAGGTTGTATTCCGACTTGATACGTGGCTCTGACTCCTTTTCCAGTAACTACCATGTCTTCAGAAAGGATTATGCTGTAATAGGATTCAAGCTTTTAGGGTACATCTTCTATTCCGAGGTAGATTCTTCTATTCATAATACAATGTTTTACGCATCGTGCTCGCCTAGTTATTGGAATAGTATTAGTCTTTTTTGGCTTCCTTAATTTTGTCTCTCAAGTCTGCCACTTGTTGGATATATAAGATATTGTACGCGCCAAAATAGACTATGTTTGCTTTCACATCGAGGAATTGGGCGAACAGTCATAAGATATGTCAAATATCCAAGGACGATCTTCTTTAAGATATTATAAGCCCTAGATTTATTGATTTGCTCTGATTTGCTGGTCTCTACTGGCCGAGCGTAACGTTCTGGTATGACGGTAGATAGAAGAATGCAAGCAAAAATGAATTTGCGGATAGACATAAAGTTGTAGTAGAAATAAACAAATCAAGTAGAAAGAGCAACAGTGTTTTGGTTGACATATTTGATTAACATTTGTAACTTTATATAGCTCGATAAAAAAGACGTACATTATATATATATATATATATACTTGTATACTTACTACTGGTGTAAATCTGTGAAATTTGAAACATTGAAGGCTGAATATATTTCATTTTCTTGCTTCTATTGAAAGTTAAGGTTCTAAGCTTTTTTTTATATATAAACCAATGTATTTGTGTTTAGAGAACCTTTACGGATCAAAAAATTCTCTATACAACTTTTTAAATTTTTCGGTACTGCACTAAACAATCAAGTCAAATGTACTCATCAAAGGTGCTCACAAAAGGTGCTCTCTGATTGAACGTCCTGTGGATAATAAAAACCTTTATCGACTAATTTGGAAGGGGTTGACCTTAAGTATGATAAAGTTTAGTGTGGACAAATGAAAATATTTTATTGTGGGGGGGGGGGGGGGGTTAGACCTTGCACACTGTGGGATTTAAGCGATTCAATGAGCTGAAGAATAATTGAAATGAATAAAAGCAGCATCCTAAAAACGAGAGAAAATAATAAACGGAAAAAATATTTATCAAGGCATGGCAAGAGAATATTCAGCAAAAAAGTAAAAGAGCACAAAAAAAAACAGATAGTGAGAGAAAACAGCTTTTAGAAAAAGTTAAAATAAATAATACAGCTGGTAAGAATGCAGATGAAAGAATCGAGAATAAGTAATTATGTACTGGCGGCACCGGAATTGGGAACGAATTTCAGCAGGAATAAAAACCAAAGAGGGGTTCCCTCCAGGAACTCGGGTGATCAATTTATAGATCCAAAACACACAGCAATACTAGACCAAGTCGGTCCTACTAGGCACAGCCTCAGGCGGGCACAGATGAAAAGGTGGACGAGGAATGGCGGAGATTCCGAACATGAAATGAGGGAACGGATCACCTGGAACAGGCTCTCTATGAGATGGTTGGATTGGGAAAGTATGGGTTTGTTTCTTGATACGTATCTTTGCTACAGTGTCGATGAAGTTTTGATCAAGAGCTTTTTATTTTGGAAGTTTTTAGGGTGATATCGATTGATCGACAGCATGTAGCAAGTTAAGCAAACATGACCACCAATCATACCACGTACAAAGTGCCCTGAAGGACTTGGGCAGGCAGTTGAGAGCATAGGCGATAAGACAAACCTCTGGAGAGGGGAAACAGGATCTATCAAGGACCAGAGTTTTTGAGTAAGAGCGACTGTGACGAGGCAGTTGAGAAAGACAGATTGAAAAGTTCAAAGAAAGTTCAAACGACTCTGGCTGACTAGTCTTCTTCCATTGTCAAGTGGATTGAGAACAAGACCATTATTTTGCTAAAAGAGATTTGTAATAAGGTACAGGTCCTAGGAAAACCTGCAAAGATATCTGTACCTGATGAAAGATACGGTATTATGAGCACTCTATCCTATCTAATATGAATTTGAACTAATTATAAACTTTTTAGCCTGTCCTCACCAAGTATACTCAATTTATAAACTTTTGTAATTTTACTGTTACCTGATTAGTCAATAGGACGTTCACTTTGTGAGCACCTATAGAATACAAAACAATAACAAAGAGAAACACAATAAAGGTTATTTGAATACGCCCAAGCGTTTGTAATCTGTAAGCTAAATTAAGATGATTTCAATTTTATTTTTAATTATTGAATACAAATACAAACGTAAATACACTTTCTCCCACACATATAAACGAGTGTGTGTGTGTGTGTGTGTGTGTGTGTATTTGAAAGGGTATCTTTTTGAGGGTATTATTTTGACAGGATATTAAATTAATAATCAATCAATCAATCAATCAATCAAGTACTCAAACAATCAAATGATACTATTGATAATAGTAATCTCGATCATTACAAGTAAGAAGAATACATAAACAAATAAGAAGATTATAAAAGTACAAGAGAGCCCGTGTCCTAGTATTTGTCAACACATCGATCCAAAATAAGCAAAAGATTCCACAAGAATCTTGACAAGGTATAGATGAATGAGTCTGTGAGTACATTTTTATCGTTCTTGTTTTTGGTTTGTTTATTTTTCTGTTACTCAATTACCAGTTTGTACATTTCTAAAGCTCGAAAAGAAAATACCACGGTCAGCAGCAAGACTACCACCTCTCACATGCTATCTATAATAGGTGGTACCGGTGAAAGTGTACAAACTATGTATTCATGTTTCCATATGAATAGATGTTCAGAGTTAGAATTCAGTGACTTGAGGGTACAATCAATATACATATATACATATAAAAACGATGAACTAGATATTAGAGATAACAGCCCCAAATTTTATCCACGCACAAATCATGTCTTCCAATTCCGACTACATTATGTCGACTGATGTATTTAGTAAGTTTACTTGGGAAAGCGATATAAATCTTTTATATATATAGCTCCATATGTTATCTATTTAAACAGGGACATTACAAGTATTTGTTTGTCAGAACATACATTTAAAATCGTCATTTCTAAATATTTCATGATAAGCTATATATATATGCGATTCTATGCAAAGCCTTTTATTTTTTTGGGGAAAAAAAAGGGGGGAGGGAGAAAGCCAAAATTTGTTGGACCTTATCTTTAACTGCGCACACAAACCATGAGTCTGAAAAGTATAATACAAAAGAAGACGAGGAAAAAAAATATTATTAGCTAATGAAAATCGATTTTATTTTACGTGTTAAAAATGTAACCATAATATATAATGACATCAAAAGGATATAACAGAGACAAAAAGATATACAGAAAAAAGAGAGTAGCGACAATAATAAGTAGGAAATTTCCTGATCAAAGAGGCTAATAGTTATGGTAATATTATTTTGTTTTATTCCGTTTAGTGTGCACGAGATTCTCTCTGCACAATCGAAATTCATATATATATATATTACCTGTTTATGACTAGTAATGGTCAATAGAGCTTTATAGTATTTGCTAAGGTCATATAATTAAATGATATCCATATTTTATATATAACATAAAACCAAAAAAAATACCCGTTTTTGTATATGTGTCTATTATGAATATGGTTAAGAGTGATAGTTGTAAGAGCATAAATAAATAAATTAAAAATGAAGCTTATACGATACTTATATGTATATCACAGTCAAATGGGTACAAACGTTTTAAGGATCAGTAAATATCCATTTACTTACACATTTCAAATGTATTTACCGGGGATAATGACAATGATAAAGCGTAAAAGGCATTTTTTAAGGGATAGTAAACGTGTCAAGAAAGCATCTCTTTTTGTATATATATATATATATATTATACTGGTGAAATGAAATGAAATGAAATGAAATGAAATGAAATGAATAAGTCTTCTTATTTTTTTCACTGACTAATAAAAAAGTATTATTCATAGTTGATATATGGTATATCACGATTTTATCCCCGCAAAACAAATTAGAACAAATGTTACACACCTTAAGAAAGAGAGAGAGATTATGTAAACACGGATACATATATAGATATAGATACACATTATTGTTACAAGTGTGTGTGCATGTATCTATTTATGTATGTATGTATGTATGTATGTATGTATGTATGTATGTATGTATGTATGTAGGTGTGTAGGTGTGTAGGTGTGTGTGTAGAAAATAATATATAAATATTTATACATATAAAATACCTATATATTTTTTGGAATGTATATGTAGGTTACTATATATGTATATATTTGTGTAAATGTAGTAGCCACACACCATATATAGTAATTGTGTTATACTTTATTTATATACATGATTTATGAAATAGAAATAGAAATAAAGTAACAATTTACCACATGTAATTCACTACAGTAATTTCAGAAAGTAAAGTCGCTGATTTTGAGTTCAATGTCGTGCAAAAAATTGTGCGTTCAATAATGATGCCGATTAATCCAAGAATAAAGTCTTGCTCACATGTCACGAACTTCGTTTACTTTTAATTGTTGCTTAATTTGGACATATAATTTCCCCAATAAACAATACAAAAAAACTTGCTGCTTAGAACTTATCCAATAAAATTTTTGGCATTAATTGTTATAAAAAAAGGGTTACGATTTTCTGTGTCCATTTTGCTCTCTTCTTTCTGTTTACAATTCCATGTTGTTAATGAACATGGGGTTGAGCCGATGGATCTTTCTGTTGATGAGAAGCTGTATGCTATTGAAACAATTCGTCCACGTACGCAATTCTTAATGAATAAACCTTCAAAAGCGATGATATACGGTTTACTCTGATAAAGACAAGACTAGATTTTTTCATCTATTTTTCAGCAAATGCTTAAATGCTTCCGCTGCTGCAAGCCAATTGGGTATTCATATCCTGGCAGAGCAGATATGGGTAAAACACTATTACGAAGTCCCTGAAAGCATCTTTGAAAAAAATCAGGGCGACATCGTATTCTTGGGAATGAGCATAGTCAATTTTTTTAAATTACATTGATGAGGATTCTTCTGCCGTTGTCAATTAAGTGGTGGAAAGTTTGAAACGAACCTATGAGGATCTCAACGTTTCTCGTAGTACTGTTCATAACTTCATGACAGCTCAGTGTAATTTGTCTATTAAGTAAGCACAGTTTCATCCTGTGGAAAGGAACAGTAAGGAAAAGTCTCAGCAAAGACACGACTGGGTTCAAAAGTGGCAGCAAACTGACCTGGATTTCACAACAAATTATGTTTTTTCTAGATGAATCAGCCTTTCACATTAATTTGAAACGGGATATGACTTGGTCAAAGAAAGGCACTCCTGCAGTAGTTACAGTGCCAATAACTAAAGCAAAAGCAACTTCTATTTTAGGTGCAATTTCTTCTAGAGGTTTAATTAATGTTAGTTTGCGAGTTTCGAAGCGTATCAAGAAGATAAATCTCGGATGTGAGACTAATAGCTATAGCATAGGAACAGTGATAAAATATTAATTGAGCTTTTTAAAGGCTACTCTCGATGAAATGAACAAGTATCCAGAAATGAAGAAACATTATATTATCATGGATAATGCTCATATACATAGCTCAACTGACATAGGAAAGTATATTTACTCTAGAGAATATTGATATGCATATATTTCTTCATATTCCCCTGAATAGAATCCAATTGAGCAGTTTTGTTCGGTCGTCAAAAGTAAAGTTAAACGAAACAAGTTTTTGGAAAAATAATCGTCCATGGCTAGGATCAGTGAGGCATGTGATAGCTTACATTCTAGTAATTTCAAAGGCTTTGTTTCTCATTCTGCTAAATGTTTTGATAAGTGCCTTAACAAAGAAAGGTTATAAAAACGGGCACAACAGTCTGTAAGCCTATAGAAAAAATTAGCAAAACCCGCAAGCAAGCCAATTTTCTTTATGAAACCTGTCCATTAATAGCCATAGCAAACACATTTTGTATAAAGGAAATCGTAGATAAGGGAAATAGGAATGGTGGGTAAATCCAAAAAAGAAGGGCAAGCAATTTAAACACACAAGATAACAAAGAAAAATTACAAAGATTGATTGATTGGGTATACGGCCAAAATTCAAGATCCAAGAGTAAAGTTACAGATTCGTTTCCTTGGTGCTAATTTGTTTTTTTATCACGTCCAAATACGCGCTCGACAGTGTATTACAGCGCCAAGGTGCCAGATCATTTTCGCTAACCATGCAATAGTCTCGGATCAATGACACAACAAAAAGCAAGTTGTCCGCATGTCCCATCAAATCCAGGAGATCACATTTCTTCGTTGAAATGCGCAACCGAACCAATTCTGTAAAGGTGTATAAGAATGGAGATTTCAATTGCATCGTAGAAAAACGTGACTGAGTTGGCTATAACTTGGAAGGGGAGGACATTTCTTAAATTGTGCTGACCTATTGCTTCTTTGCTAAAGATGCACAACCGATAAAAGTCATTGGCAAGTAGTGTGACTGAAACACTGCTGCTATTTTTGACCTCTCCATAGGCGCTAGTGTACAAGAGCCGGTATCCAGATGATGCATACACGTCAATTTTGTAATCTGTGAAGTATTAGAGATTGATTTTGGGGTTAGTATCTCAGCAATGAGATAAATTAGAGCTGTAAGAGTGTTGTTTATTTAAGAAAGAAGATCATGGCTGCTTATATAAATATTTGGTTGCCTGATTTAAGGTCTCCGCCGGTTAATGGTCAATTATCACTGAAGCAATGTGAAGTGTCCGAGTGCCTGGTGTGTGGTACGTTCCTGAGATGTGACCATGTTAGGTTCATTAGCAATTGTAGTATCCGTTCTGGATCGTGAAGTTTGCATTTTACTCAATTGTAGTGTGTATACCACAATCTGGTCGATCGACAGCATTGTCAAACTCTTCTAGGACTATGTTCGAGCAATGTCCAGCTTTCGAGGGCTTCTTTGCTGACAAAAGGCCATGTATAAATGGATGGATGTAGCTGGAAGTCAGATGTGCTTCAGAGAGGGGCTTCATGTCACAGTCGTATAGATACGAGAGTAAGGCTACTATTGCCATGATAACTGCACGTCCATATTCTGTTGGTTCAATGTAGTCTTGTGGCGAGGAAGTAACAACTGGATCGCAAAGTGGGAGAAGCTCGATTACGGATCGTGTTTCCGTGATGTCTTCATCCACAGACTGCTGAATAATCTATTGAGCTGCTGATATAACGTGCGGATGGAATGTGTTGCGCTTGTATTTGACCAGTATTCCAGTGCGCACTATTCTCAATAAGGAGGGTGAGAAAATGTCGGTTGGTAAATCTTCATAATTGCCCCCGTCGCTGCAAGACAAGGATACCAGACATAGCCAAAAGCTCATTGAAACGGCTCTCGGCGGCAAATTTAGCTGTACGCGACGCAGTAATATAATATCGACGATATTTGTGGAATTGACTTGAAATATCGCGACCATCTAGGACCCATCGTTTGTCTTCAGGAGATAGGTTTTCAAGCGATAGCGTTATTTTTACAAGGTTATTGTTGACATGATTCTCGAGTTCTGAAGCAGTGTTAAATATGTTGCGACAGCCTGGGAAAGCGAATTTAATAATGATATCTGTATCCTGTGTGTATTTCTTTACGTTGCTTGTGTTGTAGACACGCACTGGGATTCTGTCTGTTGATTTGCCATGGTCTTTCTTCGAATGTGATGTGAGATCCTTGTCGTGTTTATTGAATGTGTGCTTTTTCATATCTTAAAATCTACTGAATTTTTCTTCACAATCCGGGCATAGTTTTTTTTTAACAAAGCGATGGTGCCTTTGTTATTGCACGAATAAGACGATTAAGCCATGTTTGGACCAAATTATGAAAGTGATTGTTTTTTTTTTGCTCATTGTTGTGGTGGCTAAAGGTTTTTTTTAGAGGGAGTTGTTTTAAAGAAAGATTTGAAATTGAAGAACGAAGATTCGTGAGAACTTTCGTAGGTTTTGTTTATGCTGCTCATCAACATACGATGGAATTGCATTGAGGGAATTGAGCCACGTCATATAAGATTCCGATTGTTATTCAGCATTTGGTTTTTAACGCTTTACTAAAATACCTTGTCAATTGTGATTTTTTTTGTCAATGATTTGTTTCATTTTGGCTGTAGAAAAGAAGCTTTATAAAGTATGGTCGTTTAGTACATCATTTTTTTGTAACTAGAGTCTTTATTTTAGAAAGTTTGCCGAGGGAATTGACAAATATATCCATTTGGAATCGAATAAACTACTATGAAAAGTAATTTTTCTTTCAATCCCCTCGATGAAATTCCCTCGACGATTCCCTCATACGCTGGTGAACAGGATTAAAAATGGTTCAAAATATATTCTGTTTCAATGTAGAAAAAAAATGCCGAGTCATTCTCTCTCGGTTTGCCTTATTTTTATTAGTTAAAGAGGTATGTTTTAATAGTAAATAATTGAAAATACAGCTGTAACTAATTAATAAAAGTTATGTATATATATATGTTCATTAGTTTGAGTTTTGGCTTAGTAGATTGCTTGTGTTGGGCATTTCTTACTAATATTAAGAAACAAAAAAAAATCGTATATTTTGTCTTATTTGAAATTTTGACAAATCGTTTTATATACTAAAAATCGTTGCCTATGCCGAATTTTAATAGAATTTTTTTTTCAATACAACCTCCTAATTCCCTTATTCAACGCTTTGTCTTGAACAGCTTTTTATTGTGATTAAAAAGGTTATAAGTAGGACTAACTTTCTTCCTCTTTTATTTGGAAGAGAAAAGATTTAACTCAAGAAATTACACAAAGAAAGAATCTTTAGGCCAATCATATTTCCTAGATTCCATATACTGCCATATTTGGTCTCTAATATCTGTGGTGGTAACAATTTTCTTGCACAACATTGAACTCAAAATCAGCGACTTTACTTTCTGAAATGTCTGTATTTTTTTTTTATTATTATTGAACAACACACACACACACACAATTCTTACTCATCTGCAAAAGGGGAAGGCCGGTCACACAATACTTCTTATTTTATTATATAAAAATATATAAATATATTTTTCACTCAACTCACTCACATGTATTCAATTCACAATCCACTTGTTTGGAATCGATAATTTTCATATGAAGTACAGCCAACGACATTCACGTGTCAATCAATGAAGTTTAAAGGAAAAAAAGAAAAAAAAAGAAAAAGAAAAAGAAAAAGAAAATACTAATCTATTCTTATTCTCCTTCTCTTCTTCTGCTTCTTCTGCTTCTTCTACTTCTTTATATATCACCTTAATATCCTCACAGACATTGATTGAATGATTCTTTCATTATATTCGTGAATGGCAGCAGAATACGAACACACGTTTTACTTTTGCGATCCATCTAAACGATCATGGCAGTCACCTTCCTCCTCTCCCCCTTCCTCATACCAAGCCTGTCACAGTGATGAGGGCTATGATTCAGACGAGAAGCGTTCCTCATCACACGCTCAGGAGATTCCAATTCTTAAAAGCACTCGAAGCATGTAAGCAAACACCAAAACACACACATACAAACATAAAGATATAAAGATATATATGTATATATGTATGTATATGAAATACTAAACTCAATTATCTTGCCTTATTTATAAATTTATATTTAAATTTAAATTCTTTTAATAGTCGCATATCTTACACTTTCTTCACCTATACCCTCACGTTTATTATTCTCTTTCTCAGTACAAGACACCTCATTACTCATCCTCCACCATGGATGCACTCATTCCCACCGGTGTTCATCGCCTTTACCATCTTATTTCATACCACTCACCTATTTGCACACCTACTCGATCTGCTGACGTTAGAACGCCTGTGTGTTGTCTACGGTACCTGGCTGTATTCAACAGGTTGGCTCCTGGGAACACTCGTATTTACAGAGCGACTTCCTAGCGACTTTTACTACCCAACCCTCCTATTCTGGATACTGATGCTCGAACGGCGGAATGCGTGGGGAATTATTGTGTGGGAATTCGTCGGACGTTTAGACCATCCTCACGAACCTGCATCAGCAAATAGATGGCGGCTGTTTGTGTTTAGAACCTGGTGCCTGTTAGGTACCGGATCCTTTTGGGGATTGCTTTATACAGCCCTGGCCCACTCAGACGGATTCGCACTCTCATATTTACTTGCGTACACCAGCATTCTCAAATTACTGCTGGTTAGCACATTCGGTGGTCTGATGATGATCTGCTATTGGAGTTTCTGGACATTCCAATACAGAGGTGTTCTCTGGAGAAAAGAACTCCGGAAAGGCATCGTTGTCTGGATCAGCGAAGGTGTTACTCGCGCTGGCGACGTCGAGTAAAGCAAAACAAAAAAAAGAAGAAAGTCAAAGATCAATCATTAACAAGAATTACAACAACCACAGCCACAGCCACAGCCACAACTGCAACTGCAACTACAACTACAACCACAACTACAATTACCATTACCATTACCATTACCATTACCATTACCATTGACATTTTAACTACAATTACAGCAACCATAGCCATAACCATAGCCATAGCCATAGCCATAACCATAGCCATAGCCATAGCCATAGCCATAACCATAACCACAACCAACAACCAACAACCACAAAAGAATATACATTAAATAGCATCATTGTGTACATAAAATCCCTTTGGAACATCAATATTTTTTTTTCACTCTTCAAATCTCTTTCTTTTTTTTCCCTTCGTTTTTAATAAAGCATACAACATCAATATTAATATTGCTAATATTATTACTTCTTTACAACAACAACAAAAACATCAATTTCTTGTGTACAAATTTACTCAAATGGCAGTCTAAATCTTTAATCATTTGCAGTTGTATTTCTTTATATAGAAGGCGAAAGACACTTAATATTTTACATATATGTATATGTATATGTATGTGTATGTATGTATGTATGTATGTGTAAGTGATAGATAGAGAAAGAGGAAAGAAATAGAGCGAGCGAGAGAGAGAGAGAGAGAAAAAGAGGAAGGGGCGCTGATTGACGTCACCCATGTCAGATAACTTTTGCGTTTAGCAGTAGATTGGATATGATTCAATTCAATTCATTTTATTTCCATCTTTCTTTTCTCTCTATCTCTCTCTCTCTTTCTCTCGTATTCCTAATTTGTTCTTTGTAACATTTAACTGCTAATAGTTACATACTTGTTCATATCTTATTCATCATTATCACCTTTTCTTCTTCTTTCTTTCTTCTTCTTCTTTTCTATTGTTCAGTTTTGCCGTGTAAATTTCTGACTATAATTTGATCGTTATCAACGCAAACACACTCTCACACGCACACGCACATACACGCACACAAAAATATTACCCAATATCTCTTATACTTTGTGTTACATACAATGATCCGACAATCGCCTACTCTGGAAGCCCTTTGCCATTCACTTGGGAATGACTTTGCCGATCGTTGGAATCAAGACAAAGTATCAGACTGGCTTATTGATAACGGTTGGGCGAATCTGGTACCTCGTTTCAAAGGTAACCAAAACCAAAACAAAACAAAAAAAGATACCTTTTCAATAGTTCCGAAAAAATCCTTTTTACTCTTTTTGTTAAAGAAATAAAATAAAATAAAAAAAGCATATGGGGTCTGTGGTGAAAGGTTTTTTCAAATCACGCTTTCGGAGCTCGTCGAGATCCTACCACGGCCCATCACAACCTATGCCGAACGAAGACGCCTCCTAAATGACATTCGCGCCCTTAGTTTACCATCCACAAGTCCACCAACTGCAGTAAGTACCCAAAGAGAGAGAGAGAGAGAGAGAGAGAGAACTATGTGAATATATATGTGTGTGTGTTTTGGACGTGTATATTAAAACAAGAGAAAAGGTTTATCGACACCAAAAGATATCCATCAATACAAATCTCTACTGCTACACACCCAGTCCACACACGCCCTCCAGCGCATCTCGCCTTGAACCCTATCACAAGATCGACCAAATCTACCCAAACTCAAACACAGCTACGACCACAGCTACGACCACAAACACGACCACGAATACGAGCACGAATACGAGCACAACAATCACAAACGCCACAAATACAAATACAAATCCAACCACAGCCGCCTGCCCCTCGCCCTCCCCCTCGCCTTCACCCTCGCCATCCGATTATCCATTCCGCCCAAAACAATTTCCACCACCTTATTCACCAAAAGCAACCCTCACCCGCCTACGCAATAGTCTCTTTGCAACCAGTCCAATCCAAAATCCCATTCACTCGGCGGCTGCGGCTGCGGCTGTTAATGCTGTTAATGCTGTTAATGCTGCTAATTCTGCTACTAATGCTGCGGCGACGGCGGACCCCACGGCCATCATAGACACCGAAGAACCCCTACGTCTGTCTCCAACCATTCCTGCCCGGGTCTCTTCCACACCCGACAAAATATCCCGTCTCTGGGCACAGTATTCCCATTGGCCAACACAGCCAATACAGCCAACTCGTGTATCCTTGCCTGCCAAACGAGTAAGCTTTATGAATATATACTTTTTTTTTTTGTATTCTGTACATTTAATCTTATCTGTTTCAATTATATCTTTATTTATCTATTTATCTATTTATTTAATAATAATGATAATGAAAGGAATCAAGAGTACAAGTGACAGCCGACAAAGAAACATGGTACAGTCTTACAGTAGCAGAGATCCGAGATCCCGATATTCTCAAAGACATGCTACTCAAGCGCATGCACTGGACTGGTGAACGTGATACATATGAATACATGCATGAGAACGGACCTGATCCTGGTAAGGAAATCTGATTGTTATCATTATTCTTCTCTCGTCATGTCATGCCTTGCCTTGCCCTGCCCTACCCTGCCCTGTCTTGATCTATATCTCTTAAACGGCCTGCATATCTACACACACACATATACAATATATTTACACATGCGTGCGTGTGTGCACACATACCTTTCTTTTTTTTTAAAAAAAAAAAACTCATTCACTCACTCACTCACTCACTCCACTCACATTTAGACACCCCCCTTCAGCCGCACGATTTAGTCCGTCTGTGTTCATTAGCCGACTCTGCTGCCACCCAACGAATATTGGTCAGACCAGCTCACCCCTTAGACCCACTCACCACTCCAGAACTCGGCTTCTCTCCGTCAGACACCCTTTCACCAATATTCCCCATGGGAGGACCCTTCCGTATCCCCGTTTGTCCTCCTGTACGTTATTCATCTCCACTACCACTGGTAGTGACACAATCACAACCACAACAACCTCCGTCAGCGTCACAGGAACACCGCCGTATTCAACTTACTGATCCAGCCGTTATTGTAAACACAGCAGCATCAGCAACAACAGCATCAACTATAGACAATATGGAAATAGGTCCAACTACAATAATATCGACACCAAACAATGTCTCTCTGTTGTGGGCCGTTCCACCACGACCAAAACCACAGGACTTTTGGGGTGAGCGTCCACCAGCCAACCTTGTCTGTCAGAACATTGACCAGTACTTTGACAACCACGACCTGGATATCGAATTAAATCTTCCTTTAACACCAACCTCGCCTTCACGACGGAGTCCCAACAATACCAACAAATGCCGTTCTATTAGATCCTTGGCTAGAGAAGCCAGCAAGAAATACACTGCATCTTCTAATCTGGCCTTTACTCATGGAAACAACACATTATTACGTCGCAAGAGTACCAAACTTTGGGACACTCCATTGTTGGAAGTCAAACCCCAACGTAAGAGACGCTTAAACCAATACAATCATTCCCAATACCACCCCCACCATAATCAGCCAGTACAAGTTCCTCAGGCGGTACAGTGGATTCGTGGGCAATTGATTGGCAAAGGTTCATTTGGGCGTGTGTATTTGGCTTTCAATGTGAACACAGGAGATGTCATTGCAGTCAAGCAAGTCCAGGTGCCCCGTTCCCCCCGGCCTGAGACCAATGATAATATACAGATTAATATTAATAATAATAATACTAATAACAACAACAACAATAATAATAATAATGTACAGAGTAATAATAACTCGCCACAACAACAACCACAACAGCCGCATCAACAAAATCACCATCAAAACCATCAAAACCATCAGCATGATATGGTAAAAGCACTTTATCAAGAAATTGCCATGCTAAAAGATCTAGACCACGACAATATCGTACAATATCTTGGATACGGACAAGACGAAGCCGAAGGAGTTGTCCACATCTTTTTGGAGTATGTCTCTGGAGGAAGTATTGCTAGTAGATTACAGCTGCGCGGAGGGTTCGATGAACGCTTGGTTCGGTACTTTACGTATCAAATCTTGTTAGGTCTTTCATATCTTCACTCCAAAAGTATTCTACACAGAGTAAGATATAATATATACACACACACACATATATATATATATGTGTGTGTGTGTGTGTGTCTTTAAAAGATCCACATATAGAAAAGAGGCTGTTGTTAATCTCTTTACTGTTTAATTATTTCTTTTCTCTCTATCTCTCTTTTGGATTCTTGTTGCTATCCAGGATATCAAGGCTGCCAATATATTGGTAGAAGCTGATGGAGTGTGCAAAATATCTGATTTTGGCCTTTCGAAAAAGAATGATTACAGCCAAGTCTATGATGCTAACTCTCGTATGTCGTTGCGTGGATCAATATACTGGTAGGTAAATTACATGGAGCTTTTTTAATAGAAATGATAATAAAGCATAGTATACAAGAATCTATTCATTTATTTATTTATTCATTCATTCCTTTATTCATTAATAAATTATTATCTTTTTCTACATAACTTTACATACATACATACATACATACATACATACATACATACATACATATATACATCTACATCTACATATATATTCTATATATCTATACGTATCACCACTCTTTACTCTCTATCTCTGTCTGTGCCTTTTTATTTTCTTTTTATTTTATTACTATTACTATTGTCCGCATTTGTATTTGTATCTGTATCTGTATCTGTATTTGTGTGTACATAGGATGGCACCAGAAGTAGTCAAAAATGAACCCTATAGTGCCAAGGTGGATATCTGGAGTTTGGGATGCACTGTGATAGAAATGCTCACTGGTCAACGCCCTTGGATTGCTTTTAACCAAATTGCAACCCTTTATAATGTATGACAAAACTACACTTCTTATAGCTAATACTCCCTTTCTCTCTTTTTGTTGTTGTTGTAAAAAACAACAACAACAAAAACAAAAACAAAAGCTTGTGCTAATTATGGTCTTATTTTTCTTCTTTTTTTTTCACGCAGCTTGGATGTCTCAAATCTCCAAAAATTCCCAAGCAAATATCTAAAGAAGCTAAAGATTTCCTTGAATTGTGCTTACAAATGTAAGTTGCTTTTATTTTGATTGTTGATTGTTGATATTTATTTTATTTATTTTACAGCGACCCAGACAAACGACCCACAGCACAAGAATTGCTATCTCATTCTTTTTGTTACCAAGATCCAGACTTCAATTTTCAGGTAACTATATGGAAAAAGACACACATTTTTGTGTGCAGATTTCATTTTCATTTTCCAAAGTAGCAAATCAACTGATCTAAACTTGTTCAATATATGTACTATTTATGATAGGATTATGTGGATCAGGGCAAGGTTTAAAGAATTGAATGAGGTTGTTATACATAAATATACATATATTTTTTTCTCTGTGCTTTGTTTTCTTTATACTATTTCTTGTCTCAATAATAATACACTTCTTTTCATATATCTACCATTACTAAATCAATTATTATTAATATTAATAATAATAATTCATTAATTCATTAATTAATTTTTTTTGCAAACATACACAAGAAATAACTATATATTTGTATATAGTAGGTATATGTATCTAGTCCTATTTTATTAAAATCACACAAATTCACGCAACAATGTTGTAATAATTATGTTTATATTTATTGAACCGATCACCTTTCTTTTCGGCTACTTGTTTTTTTTGGTCATTTTAGGTCTTAACGTAACACGGAATACCATACACAACCACCGATGCACCTACAACATTATTCACCAACACCAACACGCACACACACACCAAAACCCAACCCTCATTTCGTCAAAAACATTACTCTTTTTCTTTTGTTTGGTTGTGTATTTGTAGTTGTAGTTGTATTTATATAGAAAAATAAAATAAACTTACCGATTAGATACGTTAGGTTAGAATGGGCACGAGATGAAGCCACAGCCTTGACTAGAGAGGTATTTTCGCCTGTATTGTTTGGCAAAACACCCCATTCACTCAGCATTTGCTTGGTTAACTTGTCCAGACTTTTGTCTGTAACATCCCAAAGTGTAGCTACAACTGTTGAACTGGTTTGGTTTTATGATTTTTTTTTGAAACAGAATAATAATAATAACAACAATTTACAAGGTTTTAATTAGTAAGTAAAGAAAACTCAATATTATATAAATTTAACTCACCTTCCACCTAACAGATAATTAAGCACATAACCATCAGGGTCATATTCTTTCTTTCTATCTAGAGAACCACTGCTGCACCCCATTAAAAGAGCTACTGCACATCTAGGAAGGTTCCTAATGCGTTGACCACGTATGAATGATTGTCCTGCGCTATGTCCGAAATACCTACATAACCATATATATATATATTATTATTTTTTTCAAAAAGAAAAGGTTAATTAGATTTGCCATTGAATATACATATATCTACATCTATATATATGTGCGTTTGTAGATATTAAGGCAACATACATAAACAGGTCTCTGGTCTTTAAAGCTCTTTCTAATTCTTGTTCCATTGGTCGTTCTTCTACCAGTCCGTCCCATCCAAACATACTAATAAGCAAGTCAAATATAATTATACAATTGTATTAGTAACTCACATTAATAACAATAACAAATAAAGAAAAAATAAAGACTTAAAATCTTCTTTTACACATACCTCTGGAACGTATTTTCAAATTCACTTTGGGTATGTTTCAAGTCTCCCGAAGGATTCAAGACATAGTATGTATTCGAAGTATTGACTCCCAGTTCTGACCAACCTTCCTCTGCCCCTGAAAGGTGTCGGTTGGCCGTGACCCGATCACGCAAAAGAGCAAGGGATGGCAGACGCGAAACTGCACGCGACCGAAGTATTGGCATACTTTCGAATGGGAATTGGTTGGTATATGCATCGAGGATAAGGATTATGTGTTCGTCTGCAAGTTCTTTCAAAGGATCCACACCAGTCCGCTTACTGGCTGTGTAGTATTTTGTGATCATTGCTATGATTTTGTTCTTTAGCTAAAATAATATTTTATTTTATTTGATTTTGTTTGATTTGTTAGCATTTTCAAATTTATCTTCTTCTTTTTCTTTTACTTACAATGCTTACATCCATAGATGTATACTTGATAACTGCGCCTTGGTTCTCATAATCACCCAGCAATAGTTGCATCACATCTTCTACATCTTTTTCTTGTGGTGTTGGACCCAATCTCAATATCATTCGGCAGACAGATGCCTCGATGTCCAATGTTTCGCACACAGCTGTAGACCCAACACCCTGAGATTTACGAGCCACTTCATAAACTGCCTTGATAAGAGCTTCTTTGAATTTTTTAAATTCTACTTCACTGTTTTGATGTGCACCACATAGTAAACCCTGGTGTATATCAAAGGAGAAAAATAAATAAATAAACTATGGTTTCTTTCATGACAAGCACATAACCTCTTGGTTTTACTATTATTTACCTTGAAGCCTCCAAACCATTCATTTTCTATGCGTTCCAATAAGCACCGAATCCGTTCGTCCAATAAAGTGCGTTCAGACCACCATGCATTCACCTGTGTTTTGGTACTCCGTTCGTTCCGTACAAATATCGTCTCATCGCTCTTTTCGATAATGTCCTTGAGTTCTAGACTTGCTTCTTCAAAAGACAGGGCGAGTTCGGGTTGAGACCTACTAGTTGGTTTGCTGATCCGTAACCGAGAGAGTGGAACCTTAACGATAAGAGGGTGTTCGTGTGCTTTCAGTTGAGCTACATAAAGTGCGTTTGTGGCTGGATCTAGATTGATCGAAACAGCTGTCCAATGCGGAGGTAAGATGTCGACAAAGTTGGTTTGGAATGCAGTGTCTTCAAGGTTGAGTTCATGATCATAAAATTGCTGCTGTGCACTCAAATAGTCCGCAAGTGAGGTAATTGCTGATGTGGAGGATAATGTAGGATCGACAGTACAAGTGTTACCATGTGTGCTGTTTCTACGGCGTCGTTTCAGGGGGAGCGCAGGCGTAGTTCGATCAGCAGGCCAATGTGGCTCACTTGGTTCATTTGTTTCCCTGAGGCCCTGAAGTTTGACGCCCAGGCACAATTTCATTTCACGGCGTAACTTGAGACCTTTGGACATTTCTATTACACGGATGGGTACAAATCAAAACAAATAAAAAAAAAACAAAAAGGATTGAAGGAAGGTTAGATTATATATGTAAATACTTTTCACTAAAACAACGAAACAAAACAGCATCTTTAACAAAATATTTACCAAAGGTGTAGGAGCTTTGACCAGTTTCATTTTTTAAGCGTTTCTTATTTTCGGAAAGGCATCCTTTGAGGAACATCAAGGGCCCAGCACACTCATACATAGAACGAAGTGCTCCAAGGCTGCCAACATTAAGGTTTTTGTGATGAGATTCAATCACCTTTTCCAAGTACGACTTGAGCATATCACGAATTTGATTGATAGGCTGGTTCTTAACAGGCTTCTCACTGTAAACCTGCTGTGCCATTGATCTTTTTGATACCGAAGAAACAGCTTGAACTAGGTACAAATAAATAAAACGTTTTCCAGTAATCAATAGACGTTGATAATAATAACATCAACAAAAGCAACAGCAAAATTTATCTTATTATTTTACCTTTTCTAGGTGTGAATCCAGAGTTAGGTAAAGCAAGTACTAATATTGAATAAAGAGATAGTTTTATTAAACATATATACAAAAACTCATTCTTGCACATGGTACTTTTTTTTACAACTTACTTCTTGATAGTATATTGGTAGCAATGTCCTCAGAAACTTTCTTGTCAACAAGAGCCTTCCACACTTTTGTTAAGGCAGAGTCCAGCTCACACTACAGCCAAGTTATTAATTTCATTTCAATCTTACAGAATAATTGCAGCTACAATAAAAGGATTAAGAGCTCGATTATATTTATTTACCTTTTCCGTTACCATAACCTTGTCTTTTTCAAGTTTATCCAGTGAATCAAGGATACTTTCTAAGTTTACATCTTGTTCAAGACTAGCTAGCTCTATTGTATATATATATATCCAATTATATGAATACACAAATATTAATCATAATATTCGCATATGTAACCCTGAATATCTCTCTCTATTTTGTATACCTTTGTGAATTGTATTGAGTCCGTCTTTATTGAACAATGGGATGCATTCAAATTCTACACAACCAAATAGGTAAGCACAAGTCCGCGTACAGTGCATACATAGTTCTTTTTCTCTTTCTGTTTATACCTTTGTGGCCTTTCTTCAAGTTTATTATTTTAAAATGCTCTTCGTGGATCGTGTCTCTGAAATAGTTAAGTTAGTATAGTCAATATCTTGATTGGTTTCCTTAACAATAAGCACAGCTACTTACGGTTCTACCAACTTTTCAAGGTTAACAATAAATTCTCGGTCTGTCAATTCACAGACTGTTTGGTTGGCCATTGCATATGCACTCATCGAATCATCTATATTTGTTTCAGCATTCGACATTGCATATCCCACCATCATCTGTAGGTCTAATTTATGTTTCAAATAAGGGTCTTCCTATAATCAACCCAACCACCAACCAACCACAAAGGACGAATCCACTAATTAGTATTCTCATGTTATAAATCATGTATAAACTTTTTCGTTGTCTTTGTCAAGAAAAAAGAAAGTACCTCTACATTGAGAAGCCCGGCAGCTTTTTCAATAAACTGTCGGTTGTCCTCAAATGTGCCGCATCGAATGTGAAATTCAGTGAGTCCCAAAGAGAATTTGTAACTCATGGCTTCGGAGCCAATCTGTTCGCCTAACAGTTGACCCTGTTGCAAGAAATACAGTGCCTCTCTCCATGAACCATGTTTTCCATGGATATTACCGAGATGTAAAAGGCAAACTCCCATCCTCTAATTGATACAATTGGATATATATATATATATATATATATATATATAAGGGGTCAATATCAGCAATTAAGGTCATTCTTATGTGTTTAGGTGTGGGTGTAAAACCTAACAAACCTGTGCAATACACCATTCAGATTCTTTAAAAGCAATATCAGCAGCAGACATGACAGACCCTGTCGTATGGCGGGCAGCTGAACTGTCATCGCCAAATGGATCTTCCACTTGATTACTATTAGGACAAGCACGCTGGGCTGCTTCGAGCTTGAATGTGTTTGCGCATTTGCTCAATATTCTAAACGCATCCATGGCATCCAGAATGGCGTGTTCAAGTGTATCCTATTAAAATCATCTTTTTTTTTAAAAAAAAAACAAAGAAGCAGAAATGATAACCGAAATAGTATGCAAAACTAGATTCTCAAGAAGAAAGAATAAAAGTTACTTGTAAACTTACCATATGAGATTCAATAAAAGAATGAATATAGTAAGCATCTGCCAATTCAAGAGTTTTTGCGATCTGAAGACGACCGTTTCGCAGAGGTTGAGCAGTTGATAGACTTGTTGTTGCTTTCCATGATTTCTTGGCCAGATCAAAAGCAACCTTACTATACAAAAATTATATATGTATATTAGCGTTTATCGTATATAAATAATCAAAGTTTTCTTTCGTGATACCTTTCTTTGTATCGACCTATCTGTGCTTTGTGGTAGGCAAAATACATATGGTATGTTGTAATGGACGTTGGATTGCATTGTGGGCTTTTAACCATTTCCTGTGTTGATGCAAACTCGATGGATGCCTTTCCAGAATATCCCATATCACTCCATGTACGTCCCAATGTAGCTGACAATAGCACGGTATCTATTCAATAAAAACAAGACATGTATATATATATATATATGAATACATTAGTATGAGGTTTATTATTTAATTGTTTGGTTTTTAGGCGTAGTATACTACTTTACCAGAGATGTCTTCAGTGGTCGATGAACGCAGTCCATTTGCTAGTTTTTGGAGTAGACAAAGCACATTTGCCCGAAAGACCAGCTGGTAGTTCAATGAAAAGGTATTTGAAAGCATTTGAAGATGCGAATAAAGACGATCCACATTATCAATACAGCGATGGATTCCCTTTACATCATCAGGCAAAGTATCACCTACAGCAAAGTAAATAAATATTATAGTGTATCTATATATTCATTATTTATTTATTTATTTATTACCTTTACTCTTTGGCTGAATATCTTTCAATAGTTTACCCCATTGACTAATACATGGCTCATAAGCGTAAGGCGGGTCCTCTCCCATCTCATAGCTACATATCGCAATCCAAGAATCAGCCATTGCCATATAATGGCGTCTATAATGGAGTAAATTGGAATCTTCTCCGTAGGTCTATTGGTATTTGTATGGGTATGTGTGTGTGTGTGTGTATGTGTGTGTAAAATGAGTCTTTATATAATTTCAAAACA